ACCCTAGGCCACGCCTGCCTACAGGCTCCATGTGCTCCCCAAGTCCCACTCCTGTCCCTTAGGGCTAACCTGTCCCTGCAAAGTCCAGGCCTGTTTCCCTAGGCATGTACCTGCCCGTGTCTGACCAAGGCTCCCAGACCTACATCTGCCCAACCCCTGTCCTCTCAGGTTCAAGCCACCCTTACCCTAAACCCACACCCACATCTCTTGACTGCTTCTCACACTTACATGCACACACATGCACACAGGCATGCACATGCACACATGCACACACACACCCCTCTGCACCTGCTGCTCCCCTGCCAGCAGTGCCCCGTCACCCCCTCCTTCTGTGCCAGAGTCCAGGTCCCGCACAGAGCTGCTCCCCCTCCCCCGGGCTGTGCTTGTCCCCTGCCCTGGCAGTGGTTTTAATCAAGTCAGGGACCCTGAACCCAGCACAGGGCCGAGACCCCAGAGGCTTAACAGATGCAGACTAAGTGGCCCCTCAAACACATGTTCAAGGAGAAGAACAGGGCAGCTGGGAGGAATCCCCCAACCAGCTCCTTCCACTGGAGCTCAGAGGGGGCAAGCAACTTGTTCAAGACCACACAGCAAGTCGGAGGCCAGGACCCAGCCCCAGGCTTGGGGTGCTGCTGGGCCTGTACAGAGGCGACCTCCTGGGAAGGACAGCCGGGGAGAAAGCTGTCTCCAGGCCCCAGAGCCCACACCTCCCCTCCTCCCATCTCCTGACTCTGGACATTTGCAGCCCCCCAAGCTGCTGCGCCTCCGGTTATTAATACCCGCTCGCATCCTGCCAGCCAGAAATGGCCGAGCCTCCAGCCCTGCAAAGTCACCTGGTTTATTTTTACTTCTGTTTGCTTCTGGAAATGCATGTGGATTTCCAGAAATGCCCCCACCTCCCACCACACTTCCCCTCCCCCAGGGGCCTCTTCCCTGGGACACACTCAGCGCCCTCACCCGCCCTCCCAGAGCCCATCTGAGCTGAGCGGGAGGCCGGAGGAGCCCTGGCTGGGTGGGCATGAGCCCTGACTGGTGCTGGGCTGTGGGCTGGAAGTGGGAGGCAGGAGTGCAGGGACTGTGACTGAAGCGAGGACAAGGAGCTCAGAAGGGGTCCCTTCCCGTCCCCCGCACCCCCTGTTCCTGCCCCCAACGGGCTGACCCGAGGGCAGCAGGAACCTCCAGAGCCAGGAGTAAGGCGCCTAAAGCTTTGAGGGGCCGTGAGCAACCTCTGTGCTCGCTCAGAGGCGTCAGGTGGACTCTGGGACACCCCTGGCCCTTCACCGCCAGGGCTGCCTCCCTTCGAGATGGCCTTTGGGTTTTGAGGCCTGACCGATGCTCCAGAACTTAGGGACCCGGCAATGTCTACTGGGGAAATCTGCTTCCTGTCGCTCAGGAGTCCAGGGCGGGCTCTTTACCACGTGGGGAGAGTATGGGAAAGAATGGGGCCCAGAGAGGATGCTGGTTAGCAAGGGGAGGGAGGCAGCTCAGCCAGCTCCCTAAGGGCAGGGCCTGGGGGTGGGGGGGGCAGGGCTGCTGCCCCACCCTACTCTGCAAATGCAGGCGTGTGCCTCCCCCACAGACTCTGAGCGGGGCTGTGGCCTCCCTCTGACTGGGGCTCCCCGAGGGCAGGGCTGTGTCTCCCCTCAGACTAGGGAATCATAGAGACCTGGCCCATCTTGGCCCTGAGGTCCAGTCTCCGGGAGGTGGTAACAGGAAAAGGCAGGAAGGAGGGACCTTCAGTCTGCAGGCCGACGCTCTATCCACTGAGCCAAACCGGTCAGGACCAGGGGTTATCTTTTAAAGGCACCGAGTTTTTGGACCTATGCCTCGGGCACCACCGGGGGCAGGTGTGCAAGCTGTGGGCTGGCCCAGGGTGGCTGCACGGCATGGTCCTGGCACCTGGACTCCACCTGCTCCCATTCTCCAGATGCAAAAACTGAGGCCCAGGAAGGGGACAATACTGCCCATAGTGAGTGTGTCCCCGAGCCAGGACTAGGACCACAGGCCAGGCCTTTCCCCACTACCCTGAGCTCACCAAGAAAGGAGGGGGTACTGAGAAGTGGCCACCGTGCATTAGGCACTTACTGCGTGCCAGCCACTCTAAGCCCTTTCTGCCATTCCGGCACGCAGTTTTCAAACACCACCAGCAGGCATCCTTAGCCCAGAGAGGTTGAAAAACTTGCCTGGGTCACAGAGCCAGCAGGAGAGAGAGAAGGATCACCAGCTAGGTGCTCTGGCCCTAACCCCGGGCCGTAGCCCCTCCATTACAGTACCTGCTTCCCAGCCCTGGCTGGTAGAAAGGATGCAGGACACGGGGAGGGGTGAGAACAGGGGCGCCCACTAGCACCAGCCTGTGGCCCTGCCTGAGGGGTGTCCCAGCCCCACACTCACTCACTCACCCACCCGACCCCTCTGGATCCCTCTCTGGGGTCGGACTTGTGCAGGAAGGTCACCAGCAGGGATCCCTGGCTCCCACCCCTGCCCGCTGCCCCCTCACCTGATGTCATCCTCATTGGCAAAGATGACGATCCCCCTGGCGTTCGAGGTCTCCAGCAGGCGCCGGATGATCTTGTCAAACTCCCCCGGCTTGGGCTCCCGCGGGATCTTCACCGACTGGGCGATGCACACGCCCCCTGCGGGAAGGGGCCAGTCAGCCTGGGCGGGCAGGAGAGCTGGGGTCTCTCTCCCCTTTCCCCCCAACTCATACTCCCCCCCCCCAAGGAGAAGAAGGCTGGGAGCGCCCAAGTTCCAATACTCACCCGCTGGGTGACCCTGGACATGTCACCGAAGTTCTCTGTGCCTCGGTTTCCCCATTATAAAGTAGGCGAGAGGCAATACAGCATTGTGTTTAGGAACTAGTCTGCCTGGGCTCAAATCTGGGCTCTGCTACTTACTACTGTGTGACCTGAGGGAGGTTACTGAACCTCTCTGTGCCTCACATACATCGTCTGTAAAGTGAAGATAATAACACCACTTCTTCATGGGGTTGTTGTAAAGCTGAGTTAATGCATGGAAATAAAATAATATCTGGTACAGGGTAAGTGGTGAGTAAACTCTGACTATCTGTATTGTAACCACATCATAGGATTTTTAGGAGTGAATCTGAGCATGAGAGCAAAGTGCCCACCGTGGGCCCTCAGTGCCCCCCACGACCACACCCACACCCACCTCCCAGGCCTCTGTCCCAGGCCCCATGCTCACCAGCAGGCCCCTCGGAAAGCAGTGGGCAAGGCTGCTGGCTGGTGCCACACACCTGGGCAGCGCTGCTGCAACCCAGCTCCGTTATCGTCCCGGCTCCAGGCTCCTTTCTGACTCACAGGCCCTGCACTGTGTAGGCCATCGGGCTCCAACTCTGGCCTGGCCGGTGCCTTGACACCACAGCCTCCCTCCCCTACCCTC